CGGTCGACTCTGAGGATCCCCTCGTTTCCGCTTTCTCCCCGTTTTCATCAGCGACACGACGACGTGCGACGCGGCTTTAAACCCGATCGCGCCGGTGACGAACACCGCGGACCCGCCGACGCCGTCGCACCCTATCCCGCCCCTCCCTTTCGTCCCCGCCTTGGCCGGGAAGTGGTTGTCGTTCTCCGGGACGTACACCGCTTTGACGCCAAACTTTCCGCCTTTGCTCTTCTTCTTCTTTTTACTTTTACTCTTCGCTTCTCCCGGGAACGACGGCCCGTCGCCGGCGGGGAACGCGTACTCGCGTCGTAACACCCTCCGCGTGCGCTGCAGTAAACGGTTAAACGTGCACGCGGACAAGTCCTCCACGACGACGTCGCGCATCGCGTCGACGCCGCCGGCGCCGCCGACGACGAGCGCCGGGACGCCGTGATGGACGCAACACGCGACGACGGCGGCTTTGTCCCTCTCCGCGTCAATCGCGTCGACGACGAAATCGACGCGCGCGCGTCGCGTCCTCTCCTCTCCGCCGCCGCCGCCGCCGCCGCCCTCCTCGTCGGCCGACCCCAACCCGAGTATCTCCTCCACGTTATCCCCCGTCACGAAGTCTTTCACGACGGCCACGTCGCACGCGGGGTTGACGTCGCGCACGCGCGCGGCGAGCGCGTCGGCTTTGTTGACGCCCACCGTGGACGTCAGCGCCAAGACTTGGCGGTTCACGTTCGTGAGGCACACGTCGTCCATGTCGACGAGGACGAGCGCGCCGACGCCGCTGCGCGCGAGCGCTTCCACGGTCCAGGACCCGACGCCGCCGAGGCCGAGGACGGCGACGCGGGAGCGAGCGAGGATCTCGAATCGGTCGTCGCCGTACAGCCGTCGCGTGCCCTCGAAGCGGAACGACTCCGCGTCCGCGTTCCGCGGAGGCGTCGAGCACGACGCGGCCGCGGCGTCGCCGCGCTCGGACGCGGACGCGGACGCGGACGCGTCCGAGAGCGCGCGGAGGAGGAGGTGAAGACGCGAGCGCGGCGCGAGCGCTCGCGTCGTCGGCGTCGTCCTCGGCGCGTTCGTCGAGGGTTGGGGCATTGGTGGTGGGGGAGGACGAGGCGCGGACGCGCGCGCGGTGCGACGCGAGGACGCCGCGTCGCATCGCGCGAGTCTAGGTCGCGGGGAGACCGTCGCGCGCATCGCGCGCGCGGCCTCCATTCCTCGTGTCTGCCTTCCCCCCGACGGCCGCCGGCGGGTGCCGAAGGCAATGCGTCCGGCCGTCAACTTTTCCTTCTGTTTGTCGTCGCGAGTTGCAGTTGTCACGTCGATGCAGCACGAATCGACCTCATCAGATCGAAGCGCGCGGAAGGGAGTCCGCACGCACCGCCCGGCGTCATGCGGGCGCCCAAGCGAGACGACAACTCCTTCGCGGCGATGCTCGACGAGATGATGGGCGAGGAGCGGAACGTCGATCTGGACAAGGTCACCGGGAAGAAGCGCCACTTCACGGACGACAACGTGGACAAACACTACGTCGTCGGATGCTCGCCGTATCAGCTGTTCCGCCATCAGGCGAAGAACGAGGGGTACCTTCCCGACGTCGCGTTGTACCGCGACATGATCTGCGACGACGCGCTGCGCGAGGAGTACCGAGCGCTTCCACAGGAGGAGAAGGACAGGCTCGGGTACGAGTACGACGCGTACGTCCTGCTCACCGGGATCGTGGAGAAGTGCGACGCGCGCGTGCGAAAGGCGAGAGAGCAAGTGAGCGGGTACTCGCGGTCGATCGCGGACCGCGTGAACGAACGCCGCGCGGGGTGGCAGTCTCGGATCGACGCGAAGATGCGCGCGTCCGAGACCGCGGGCGAGGCCGGGGACGTGGACGCGTGCGAGGCGCACGTCGCCGCCGCGCAGAAGCTGCGCGACGCGATGGAGGAGGACTGCGCGTCGTTCAAGAGGGAGCTGTCGAGGTTCGACGGGTCGCAGGCGGTGTGCGAGGTCACCGGCGCCATCATCGCGTCGGACGCGACGGAGCAAAACGATCGCGCGAATCACTTCGCGGGGAAGGCGTACGTCGGGTGGAAGCGCATCAGAGAGTTCGTGAAGGAGCTGGAGAGGAAGGGCGTGCGGCCGCCGCCTCGCGCGCGCGTCGCCGCCCCCGCCGCCGCGGAGAGGCGGGGCGGGGACGGGGGCGGGGCCGGGGACCCGCCGCCGCGCGAGGAGAGACGGCGGGAACAGCGCGGGGCGGATCGCCGACGCGACGGCAGTCGCGAGCGCGAGCGCGGTCGAGGATGGGGGCACGACGACAGGGACAGGGACAGGGACAGGGACAGGGACAGGGACAGGGACAGGGACAGGGATAGGGATTGGGATAGGGATAGGGATCGACGCCGCGAACCGAGCCGCGACCGCCAGCGAGCGCGGAGCCGCGACCGGGACGCGGACTATCGAGGGCGCGACCACCGGCACCATCCGTACGATCGAGACCGAGATAGGAGGCGATGAGATAAGTTGTTAGATGAACAATTACAACACATCAATTACGACAACGCATAACGCACGCCACGCCCCCGTTTCGTCTCGTCGCATCTCTATTGGTACTCCGGGTTCGACCGGAGGTGCCGGTTCCCGCCGCCGCCGTCGCCCTTCGGCCCGTCGCTCCTTCTCAGCGGCCGCACCCCCGTCGGGTTCGACGCCCGCGCGCGCTGCCGCGGCCGGTACGCGGTCCCAGACCTCCCGACCATCCCGCTGTCGTTCCCGCCCGTGTTCTTCGCCGCCATCTTCAGCCGGTGCTGCTGCTTCGCGTCCCCAGCGCCGCGGTGCGCGACGACGATGATGTCCGGACGCTTGTTGCAGTAGTTGCGACACGCGAACCGAACCGCGGACGCGCACGTGCGCTCCACCGCGGAGAGCCTCGCGCCGGACTCGAGGCCCTCCACGCTGCGCTCCGCGGCGTTGCGAAGCGTCGCGAGGAGGCGGCCCTCGTCCGTCCACATTGACCGCGACGTGACCCTCGCGCGCGCGGTCATGAAACCGCCGGCGTCGTACGACTCCTCCTTCTCCTCGCCGCCGCCGTCCGCCGCGTCGCCGCCGACGTCGCCATCCTCGGGGTCTTCCTTGATGGACGCGCCCTCGCGGAGCTCGCCGTCGAACACCTCCAAGTCCACGACGACGATGCCCTCGGTCGCGATGCGCATCCGCTCTTCGATCGCGAGGTCTTCGCTCGTGCCGCTGCCCTTGCCGCCGTCGTTGAACATCGTCTGAAGACGCGCCTCGCCGAGGAGGTGCAAGTTCCCCATCGTTCCGTGCGACTGCGCGTTGCGCAACGGAGTAACGCCGAGCATCTGACCGTTACCGATCACCGCGCTGTGCCGGACGCCGCACTCGCGCGCGAGCGCTTCGTGCTCTTTGAGAAACGCGTACTCGCCGTGGACGGGGAGGAAGTGTTCGGGGTGAAGCATCTTGAGCACCTCCTCGAGCTCGTCCCTGTACGCGTGTCCGGAGGAGTGCAAGCCATCCTCGCGACGCATCGCGATCTCCGGGCCTCTGACCGCGATCGCGTTCATCATCCGCATGACGCGCTTCTCGTTCCCCGGAATCATCTTCGCGCTGTAGAGCACGAGGTCGTCCTCGGTGAGCGTCAGCAGCCGACTCCCCCCGAAGGCAGCCTGGCACAGCTGCGCCCTGGGCTCCGCCTGCGACCCCGTCGTGACGACGATGAGATCGCTCGGGTTGACGTTGCCGATCTCCTCCGCGGGGATCAGCGTCTCCGGGTCGATTGGCGCGATCCCAGCCTTCTTCGCAGCCTCGAGGTAGGTCGTGAGCGACATGCCGACGAACGCGATCTTTCGGTCCGTCGCGTCCGCGAGCGCCTTGACGCCGTACAGACGGTGAATGTTCGACGCGAACTGCGTCGTGATGATCCTCCCCTTGTGCCCGTGTGCGCGCGCGACCATCGCGTCTCGAATCTTGCTCTCGCTGATCGTCCTCCCCGGCGAGAGGACGTTCGTGGAGTCGGACATCATGAGCGTCACGCCCTCCTGTCCGACGCGTTCCCACGCGCTGCGATCGAAATTCAGGCCGTCCACCGGGTTCTCGTCGATCTTCCAGTCCCCGGTGTGCACGATCGTCCCCGCGGCGCAACGAAAGATCAACCCGCAGCAATCCGGGATGGAGTGCGTCACGCGGACCGCCTCCATCTCAAACGGGCCCGCGGAAAAACGGCTCCCGTCGCCGACGCCGATCACCTTGAACCGGCTTCCGTCGCCCCACAGGTTAAACTCCTTCATCCGCCGCGCGATCAGCTGCATCGTGAACAGACCCGCGTACACCGGCGTGCTCGGATCCAACGCCGGGATCACCCACGGCAGCGCGCCGATGTGATCCTCGTGTCCGTGCGTGATGAGCACCGCCTCGATCTTGTCCTTCCATCGCGACAGGAACGATACGTCCGGGAGGACTTTTTGTATCCCGAGCTCCTCGTGGTCCGGGAACATGAGACCCGCGTCGAGGAGCACGTACCTGTTCTCGGTCCCGACGAGCGCGCAGTTCATCCCGATCTCGCCGAGGCCGCCGAGCGGGAGGAACTTGATCGGCGGGTCGTCGATCAGACCGCCGGGGGTGCCGTCCACGGGTCCCGTGGAGCCGATCGGCGCGCGGTCCGAGCGCACCGGCGATACGGACGGCAGCTCCGGGAAGGGTTTGTTGTCCGTGTAACGCAGCGTCGTCCCGAGGTGGGACTTGCCGTCGGACTGCTGGCGGAGGCGGCCTTTGCCGCCGCGGCCTCTTCCTCGGCCTCTTCCGCCTCTGCCGCCGCCTCTTCCGCCGCCTCTGCCGCCGCCTCTGCCGCCGCGGCCTTCCGCGGAGACGTCGAGATCAATTCTCGCCGCGCGCGGTGCCTCGCGCGGGGTGAACGCGGAGGACGCCACGCGAACGCCGTTGAACGACGACCCGCGTCGAGCCGCCAGCGCATTTGACATCGTCGACGTCGTCGTCGTCGTCGTCGTCGTCGTCCACGCGCACGGCGCCGTCATCGCGCGCGGCGTCGCGACGCGATGCGCCGCCCGTGCCGAGTTACCGAGAATCTCGTCGGGGTGCACCGAACGAGCGTTTACGGGGTCGTCGTCGTCGCGCTGCGCGTCGACGAGTGCGCCCTTCAGGGTTAGGGATTCACTCGACACTCGCACAGCGGTCGCGGTCGGTGGACCGATCTCATTCTCAGGTGCGTTCTATACAGTTTTTCACCCGTAGCTCGGTTTCAACATTTGATCGCGTCCCCTTTCAACTGACCGGTGAACATTTTTTGTATGGAACGACCCTGTGAGCATGACAGATCAAAAACGTGTTCGGAAGCCGCGGCCGGGATAAGACCTCCGGGCACCCCCATCGCACCACGGGTCTCAACGCGCGCGTTCCTCGTTTTGATCGCGTCACGCCGCCGCGATGTCCGCCATGACCGCGGCGCACGCGAGTTTCGTGCGCCAACCCCGGCATGCGCGGCATCACGCGCGGTGCGTCGCGCGAGGCGGTGCCGCCGATAAGAAGGTCAATCTGGCGCGGCGAGCCGTCCTCGTGGCCCCGAACGCGTCGTCGCCGAATCGCGCGTCGCCGCACGTCCACCGCACGGCCGGCCGGACGTCCACGTCCACGCACGGCGCGGTGTCGCCCACCAGCGCGGACGTCGCGTCCACGTCCTCCTCCGGCACCGGCTCGTTCGACGACGTCGGGACGGTCGTCAAGAAGAGGGCGAAGAAGAAGTCGAAGCGCGAGCTGGAGCAAGAGAGGAAGGAGAAGCTGGAGATGGACTCCGATTTCTGCCGCATGGTGACGCGGTACGACCCGAGCGTGATCGAGAAAGAAGCGCTGTCGAAGCCGCTCAGGCTCGCGCGGAGAGGCGCGAAGGTGACCTCCGCGTTCGCGAAGCTGTACTCGAGGAAGCAGGCGCTTCAGGACGCGGACGCGAGGGACGGCGGGATCCGATGGGCCACCGCGTTTAAAGACACGCTCACGAGCTTGGGGCCGCTGTTCGTGAAGCTCGGGCAGAACCTCGCGAACCGACCGGATCTGGTCGACGAGGTGACGATGGAGGAGCTCACGAGGCTGCAGGACCGCGTCCCGCCGTTCCCTACGGACGAGGCGATGCGAATCATAGAGGAGGAGGCGGGGAGGAAGCCGTCGGAGATTTTCGAGTACATCACCCCGGAGCCCATCGCCGCGGCGTCGATCGGGCAGGTGTACAGGGCGACGCTGAAGTCCGACGGCACGGACGTCGCGGTGAAGATATTGCGACCGGGGACGCGGCCGCAGGTGGTGCTCGATTTATACATCCTGAGAGCCGCAGCGGAGAAGTTTTTCGACGACTTCTCGAGGAAAAACTTGGGGTGCCCGGCGACGTTGCTCGTGGACGAGTTCGCGGAGAAGCTCCTCGAGGAGCTCGACTTTAAACAGGAGGCGCTCAACTTGCGCGACTTCCGCAGGAACTTCAGCGACGACGACAGCGTGCAGATACCCGGGGTGTACACTGAGTACTCTGGCGAGCGCGTGCTCGTGATGGACTGGCAGCCCGGGACGCGGTGCACCGCGCCGGGGGCGTTCGAGTCCCCCGAGGCGATGCGAATATTCCTTCAAAACGGCGTCGAGAGCGGTCTGCGACAGCTGTTAGACTTTGGGTTATTCCACGGCGATCCGCACCCGGGGAACGTCCTCGCGCTGCCGTCCGGGGACATCGCGTACGTGGACTTTGGGAACGTCGCGGAGATCTCGCGCGCGAACCAAGAGTCGCTCATCGACGCCGTCGTGCACGTCATGAACCGCGATTACGACAACCTCGCCGTGTGCTTGAGCGACCTCGGGTTTCTTCAAGCCGGGAGCGACATCGAGCCGGTCGCGAAAGGGTTACAGGAGGTGTGGGGCGACGGCGCGCTCGCGAACATGGCGAGCATGGGGAACTTCTCCTTCCGCGGGCTCACTCGCGAGTTCAACAAGCTCCTGTTTCAGTACCCGATTCGCGTGCCCGAGCGTTTCTCGCTCGTGATTCGCGCGTTGCTGACGCAAGAGAACATCTGCCTGACCTTGGACCCGAAGTTCAACTTCCTCGAGGCTGCGTTCCCGTACGTCGCGCGGAGGCTGCTCACGGACCCGGACCCAGCGCTGCGACTGCGTCTGTTCAAGGTGATCATCGTCAAAGGGAAGTTTGACTGGGCACGGTTACGCGAGCTCGTGACCATGGCCGAGGCTGGGGTGAGAGGCGGGATCAAGCTTCCTTTGAAAGCCGCGTTCGAGCTCGTCGGGGACACGACGAAGATGCTCGCGACGGACGGCGCCGCGCGATCGATGCTTCTGGACGGGTTACGCGCGGTGCCGATTCGAGAGCACATCGCGCAGGCGCTGAGCTTGGGCGCGATGGTGATGGGGATGGCGGCGAAGCACTTCTTCTCGGACAGTAAAATTTACAAGTTCATCAAGAGGAACTGGGTCACGTTCGCGTACGACGTGCGAAGGGCGTTCGCGCAGCGGACGTCCTCGGAGCTGCCGCGGCGGTCCGCGTGGCCGCCGCCGCCGGGGAAGGGCGCGAGCGGCGACGGGGAGGGGAGCGAAGGGGACGGTGGGGCGCCGGTGGGGGCCGCGCCGGTGCCGGCGTTTGCCGCCGCGTGAGGACGCGGCGGACGGACGCGTGGCGGGCGCGCGGGTTCGATTCGCGCATCGTTTGTTGTTGTAAGAGTACGCGTAAGAGCAGCTTCATATTCGTGTGCGTGAGTTCGAGTTCTCGCGTGCATCGTCGCCATGGACCACCCAACTCGCACCCGATCTCACGCAAATACTTGACGATATCCAAGTCGCCGAACCGAGCAGCCTCGTACATTGTCCACTCATTGCGCTTGCATCCGTTCTCGCACAGCCACTGGACAACATCAAAGTGATTCTTTCGAATAGCAGCACGAAGGACATCTCTGTTCCACTTGCACCCGTTCGCTCGAGCAAACTTGAGGACTTCGAGGTGTCCCCCCTCGGCAGCTTTTTCGCAAGTCTTCGCAGTCCACGGGCAGTTCATCGAGTGCAGCCACTCGAGGACGTGAAGATGACCGCCCTCGGCTGCGTTCCAGCACGCGTATGTGCTCAGCACGGCACAATCGTGCATGTGGATCCACCGCAGCTTGTTCAGATCTCCCTTGAACGCCAGGGAGACGGTGACAGCTTTCAGCCCACTCTCCGAGGTTTTCTTCAACCACTCGCCGTCTCCGTACTCGCGGTCGAGCTCTTCCTCGGGCACGTGCTCGCCGTCGTCGCGCTTTCTCTTCGCGATCCCGTCGCGTTGCGTGATCGCGAGCATCGTAAGCGCGATGCGAGCAGATGCGCCGCGCATCGAGAAGTGCGGCTTCAAAGCGCCCCGACGTTATTTTCACCGAGCGGTCTTGTTCAAACTGATCAAGTTTTTCTTCGCGCCTAAACTCTCCGCCACACCTTCCCGCCGCCGACCTCCGCCGCCGCCGCCGCCACCGCCGCGCACTCGTCATGCCGAAGGACGCGAGATCGCCGCCGCTCATCACCCCGGCGAAGCCGCGATCTCCAGATCGCGACCCGATCGCGCCGGCGACACCCCCCGAGCACGAGCGCGAGCGCGACGACCGCGCGTCCGAGGCCCCCGGCGCGTTCGTCGTCGTGCGCGGGCTCAAGAGCGACGCGGCGAGGCACCTCAACGGCGTCGTCGGCCGCCGCGGCGCGTTCGACGCCTCGCGCGGGCGCTGGGAGGTGCACGTCTTTGGCGGGCTCCATCGCGGCGACGCGGACGCGGACGTGCGATGCAAGCCAGAGAACCTCCGCGCGGCGACCGAGGACGAGGTCGTCGCGTCCGTCTCGCGGACGCTCCTCGACGCGAGCCGCGACGCGGCGGCGTACGACGCGCGGCTCGACGGGCTGACCTCGCTGTTCGCCACGGAGGAGCGATGCAAGCCGCTGTCGAGGGGGCTTCTGTCGCGCCTCGCGTCCGTCGCCGTGGACGCGCTGCGGCGCGAGCTGTCCGCGACGCGCGACGACGCCGCCGCCGCCGCGGCCGCGGCCGCCGCCGCCGCCGCGGAGCTCCACCCGATGGCGTGCATGTTCGCGAAGCAAGTCGCGGGCGCGTTCTGCGTCGAGCTGCGCGACCGGCGACGGAAAACCCGCCGCGGCGACGCGCGCGAGGGCGCGCTCGCGTTCCTCGAAGCCGGCGCGCTTCCCCCGCTGACGGTGCTTCTCCACCGAGCCGTCTCCGAGGCGTCGACGGAGAAAAACGTCTTCGACGTCCGCGCGAAGCAAGAAGACCTCGCGAGTCGAGGGTTACCGTACGACCCCGAGACGGTGACGTGCATCCTAGCCGCGGAGGGCGCGAAACCGACGTCAGCTAGGCGTTTATTGGACGCCGCCGCCGCGGACACGCTGAAAATGCTGTGCGACGTCATGAAGACCGAGGCGCACGCGGCGGCGGCGCTGTCCGACGACGACGTCGAGGACCCGACGTTCGCGCGCGCGTTGCAGAGCTTCTACTCGGCTTGCGGCGCCGCGCGCGAGTGCGACGACGACGACGACGAGAGCGAGACCTTCGCGATGCTCGAGCACTTCCGCGCGCTCGGGTTGGAGATCCCGCCCGAGATCGCGGAGGCGCTGCGCGACGAGCGCGCGACGGCGGCGGCGGCGGCGGCGGCGGCGACCGCGGCGTTCGCGTCGTCGCGCAAGCCGGCGATGACGCTGTGCGCGCTTCTCCGCGCGTGGGCGACCGAGCTGCGCGTGCGAGAGCGGCTCGGGGTTGAGGTGATGCCGTACACCGAGGACGACGACGTGGAGTGCGTGCGCGAGGCGAGCGCGATCGTGGAGCGCGCGATGAAGCGCTGAGACGAACGATGAGACGGACGATTGAGTATGAAGAATACGATGATGACCCACGTATAAGACGATGCTACCCTCGAATCTAGCTAGTCGCACAGCGCCTCTCTCAGCGCTTCTCTATCGCTCGCGTCGAACCCGATCGAGTCCAGGTACCCGTCCACGGAGCCGTGATTCGTCTTCACGTACGCCAGGACGCCTTCCATCACCGCTTTCGGGGATCCGTAAAACCGCGAGTAATCGATGTTCACCCCTCGCTCGATCCGCCCCCCGCCCAGCGCGGCTTTCCCCGTGCCCTCGGACTTGTGATAATCCTCCGTGATCTCGTCCTCGCTCAGACCCGCGCAGTGCAGCGTCAGCGCGGCGACGAGCCCGGTCCGGTCCTTCCCGGCTTTGCAATAAAAAGCCGTCGGCGCCGCCGCCGTCGACTTCGCGATCACTTTCAGCGCCGCGCGAATCTCCGGGCCGCTGCCGTCGACCATGACCTCGTTCAACAGCGGCAGCCCGCCCGCGTTGACCTTCCCCACGAACAGCTCCTTTTGGTTCGTGTCGTCGTACAAGAACGCCTGCGCGGTGAACACCGCGGCTTTCACCTTCTCCACAGCGGTGAGTCGGTCGTAGATGGCGAGGTAGTACCTCTCGTATTCCAGAAGCGGCGCGTGATACCGCACGAGCGCGCCCGCGCGCGTCGCGTCGTCGATCCCGTCCAAGAACGCGGCGTCGGATTGCCTCCTGAGGTACGCGTCGTACGCCTCCTTGCCGTACTTGCGCAGCAGCGGGTCGTCGACCCCGTCGACGTTTCGCGTGAAGGATATGATCTCCGGGAACGCCGACTGCAGCGGCCCGGGGTCCGCCTCGAACTCGTCCTCGCTTCGAAGGTCCAACAGCCGCTTCACGCCGAGGTCGTTCAGCACGATCGCCGCGTCCGCCTCGCTCGCGTTCCCGGGCGTCGCGGTGCGGAACACGCGTCCCGGCGCGATCGATCCGCCCGCGGACGCGAGGTCCCGGAAGTTGAGGACGCTCTCGAGGGAGACGGAGACGACGTCGTCCCTCGCGCCCGTCTCGAGACCGCCGCCCTTCGCGGCGGCGCGCGGCGGCGGCGCGGCGACGCGCGCGGCGTCGCGGCGGCGACGCGACGACGGGGAGGAACGGAGGGCCGCGCGCGACGCCGACGTCGCGGAGGTCGACGCCATCAGCTCGCGCGTCGACGTGTGACGACGTGTCGTTCGGATTACAAGTTTTTCACCTCTCGGCGCGGCGACCGCCCTCTTCTTCCAGTCACTCCACCCCCGCGTTCGCGCGCCGCACGAGCCCGGCCCACTTCCCCTTGAAGAACAGCTCCGCGTCCAACCGCGTCTGGATTTCCCTCTTGAGCTCGTCCAGAGCCACCCTCACCTCGGCTTTGACGCCGTCGAACGCGCGGTCGCGGCCGTGGATCGCGACGTGCACGCTCGGAACGTCCAGCGCCCACACCGACGCCGGCGGGCCCGGGATCGTCTCCTCCTCCTCCTCCTCCGCCGCCGCGGAGACGGCGGCGTCGTCGACGTCGGGCGCCGCGTCTCCCGCGTCGCCCTCCGCCGCGGACCCCGCCGCGGACGCGCCGCCCCCACCGTGTGTGCTCGCGGCGACCGTCGACGCGGACGCCACGTGGACCTCCCTCCACGGCAGCCATCCCATGGAGCTCAGCGCGAGCTCGGCGACGGGCAAACCGGGCCACTCGCGTTCTTTATGCGCGGGGCGGCCGCTCGCCGCGCGCGTCTCCGACGCGCCTTCAATCTCCGGGAAACTCGCGTCGTCGCCCTCGAGGCGCATCCGCCGCAGCTCTTTGAGGTTCTTGCGCCGCAGCCCCACGGCGGCGTCCGCGCCCGCGCCCTCCGCGGGGAGGTCGAGCGGCGTGACGAGTCCGCTCAACAGCGTCGCCGCGAATCGCGTCGCGCGATTCGCGCGCTCGCCAAAGGCGACGGCTTCCGCCGACACCGCGCGCGCGACCGCGGCCCACTCCCCGGACATGTTCGCGATCGCCCGCTTCCCGCGGTCCTTCTCTTCGACGCACAGCTCCTCGAGCTCCGCGCTTCGCGACGCCGCGGCGAGGCTCGGTCGCAGTCGGTGGTCGTGGTCCTTTCTTAACTCCACGAGGTTCTTCGCGATGGTTGAAAACTCAGCCGCCTTGCTCTTCATCGCGCGGCGGACGCGTCGCTTGCCATCCTTCAGAAGGTCCTCCATCGCGAGCTCGATCGCGGCGGCGACGTCGTCGCCGAGGCTGATGACCTGCACGCGTAACTCCCTCGCGTGCGTCTCCACGTGCGCGGCGGTGACTTCCTCGAGCTCGACGATGAACGGCTCGTGGTGCTCGACGAATCCCGCCGTCGTCGCGGGGATGCGCTCCGGGCGCGTGATGCGCTCGACGTCTTTGTCGGCGAAATAGGCGTCCGCGGCGGCGGCGACGTCGGCGCGGAACTTCGCCGCGACCGCTTCCATGCGCAGCGCGAGCGTCTTCTGGTCGAACGCGATCGCCGCGTCCTCCGCGTCGGCGTCCTCCGCGTCGGCGTCCCCCGCCTCGGGCTCCTCCGGCGCCGGCGCGGCTTCGCCGGCGTCTTCGTCGTCGTCGCCCTCGGGTTTCCGCGGCGGCGGCGGCGGCGGATCGAGATCGATCTCCGCGGGCGGATGCTCGATTTCGACGCCGTCCGCGAGGACGCCGACGAACTCGCACCGCTGCAGGAGTTTCTCGCGCAGCCGCGCGAGGCACTTGAGCGTCTCCGAGCACGTCCCCGCAGGCTCGTTCGAGTACGCCCCCTTCGCGCCCGACGCGAGTTCGGCGAGGCGTTCGATCTCCGCCGCGAGCACCGCGGCTTCCGCGTCCGAGGCGAGGAGTAAGTCTCTCTGCAGAATGCGCGTCTTGTTTCGAATTTTCTCCACGGTCTCGATGAGCGCGAGGTCCTTGACGTGATGCGGCACGGACTCTTCGAACGCGGCGTGCGCTTCGTCGTCCTTCTGCGCAAACTTTTCCTTGAGCTCGCCGACGCGTTCCAAATTTTCTTCGTGCAGGCCCTCCGCGGCGGCGTCGACGTCGTCGAGCTGCTCGACGTACCCGTCGATGCTGACCTGCGCGTATAAACCGCCGTCTTCGAAGGACACGAGGACGTCGTCCTTGAATAGCTCGTTCGCGGAGACGACCGCGTCCATGTCGAACGCAGCCTTCTTCGTGAGGTCGTAGATGATCTTCGCGATGTTTTTCCGGACGCGGACGAGCTCCCTCTCCTCTTCGCGCTCGGAGATGTGCACGGATTCCACGGAGAGTATGTCCACCAAGCCCGTCTCGAACGCGACGAGCTTCGCGATCTCCTCCCCGAGCGAGTTCTCCGCGTCCACGAGCGCGGCGAGGAACTTCTCCTGCGCCTTTTGCGCCGCCTCCGCGGACCTCGCGATGTGCCGTTCAAATCGCCGACGCTGCTCCAAGAGCTGCAGCGACCGCGCGTGGCGATCGTCCTCGTCCACACGCCCCGCTCTCGGGCGGTGCCGTCGAAGATTCGCCTCGAGCTCGTCGCGAAGTTCCTCCGTCACGTTCAGCGCGAAATCGTTCGCGTGCTCGATCACGCGCTCGAAGTGCTCCTCCGCCTCGTCGAGGAGCACCTCCATCGCGGCTTCGAGCAGCGGCCGCGCCGCGTCTTCCGCGATGGAGAGCTCCGCGATGAACGGCAGCGGCGGAGGCGGCGGCGGCGGCGGGATCGGCTCGCCGTTCTCGTCCAACTCCGGCTCTTCCGGCGCTTCCGGCTCTTCCGGCTCTTCCGGCTCTTCCGGCGGCGGGATCGGGTTGCCGTCCTCGTCTAGCTCCGGCTCCGGCGGCGGCGGCGGCGGGAACATCACGTCCTCGTACACGTCCGTCCACACCGCGAAGAGCGTCCCGCGCGCGGTCTTGTGGTAGCTCCACTCCTTCGTCTCGTCCGTCTCGTCGATGACCCACTGGTCCCACTCTTCTTCTTCCTCGGACTCTGGTTCCTCTTCGACGGCGGGCGCTTCGCCGTCGGCGGCGGCGGCGGCGGCCTCCGTCACTTCGCCGTCCGTCGCCTCGGGGGCTTCAGCCTCGGGCTCGGGCTCGGGCTCGGGCTCGGGCTCGGGCTCGGGCTCGGCGCCTTCCTCGGCACCTTCCTCCTCCGCTCCCTCACCGTCTTCGCCCTCCGCGTTTTCCTCCTCCCCCCGCTTCCGCTTCGGCGGCACGTTGGGAACCAGCCGCAACATCCGACACAGTTTTCTCTGATAATCCGCCCACTCCTCGGACTGCGAGATCGGGTACTTCTCCGCCGTCGCGGTCCCGTTCGCGCGCAGGTCGCGATAGTTCGTCTCGATGTCGTCCAGCGTCCCGTTCGCGTCGTTGAACATCTCGTCGAGGTCCTCCTCCGTCGCCGCCGTGGCCATCCTCTCGACTTTTTCTTTGAAGACGTTCTCGCACTCCGCGTCCCTCGCCTCGAACGCGGCGCGCTGCGTCGCGAGCTCCGCGACGTTGTCCTCGTGAATCTTCTCCGTCTTCGCGAAGTGCTTCTCGCGGTATTTGGACACCCGCCGCATGAAGTCGACGAGCTTCTCGCTCTTGTCTTTCCAATCCGCGGCTTGCTCTCGCATGAAAGTCTCCACGCGATCGATAAACGCTTGCGCCTCCTCCGCGCGCTTCACCGCCGGCGTCATCGCGCGCTCCTCGAGCATGGCAAACTGCGTCTCCTCGTCGTACGCGGCGTAGCGCTGCACGTCCGCGCGCAGCGTCTCGAACGTTTGCGACGCCTCCGCGGAGATTCGCGTTTCGTCCGCGCGAAGCTTTTCCAAAAAGTGATCGACAACCTTCCCATGGTCCTCGTGCCGCACCTCGAACCCTTGCTCCCAGCGCTCGATGTACTGCGTCCCGGGCGGGAGGTGGTTCCGCCCGAGGCGTTCGACGTTCTCCACGAGCGATGCGTGCGCGCCAGCCTGGTGCGTCGCGAGCGACTCCATGAGCTCTCTCCGCGTGGGCGGGTCTTGAAGCGCGTCGCTCGCGATGAGCGCCTCGTACTCCGCGATGCAGTGCTCCGTGCGCACGCGCCGCCACTTCTCTAACCCTTCCTCCCATCGCGCAAACTCCCGCTTCTCCATCTCCACCTCGCGCGTGCGCAGGCGCTTCACGAGCTCCGCGACGCCGCGTCGGTCTTCGATGGACTGTTTGTTCAACGCGCTCGTCTCATCCGCGGCGTAGCGTTCGATCTCTCCTCGCGTCTTGTGCGCGACCGCGACGAGGGCGTCGATGACGTACGTCATCGACTCGCGGAGTTTCTCTTTCACCTCCTTTTCCGCGACGTCGATCTCCGCCACCAGAGCGTCGATCCAGGACGAGCGCGTCGGTATCGACGCGTTCGCGATCTCGTCCCAGACGCTCCGAACTTCATCCTCCTCGACGCGCATGAGCGCGTCGTCGTCGTCGTACACGGACGTCCTCGACGCCATCGCGTCGTCGCTGCGCTGCATGCGCTCGCGGAACGCGCCGACCGCGCGCGCGACTCTCTCTCTCGCCTCCTCGCACAAGGAGTCTCGCTCTTCGTCCCACGCCGCGGTCGTCAGCGAGTGCCTCTCCTCTCTCGACCCTTTCATCGCGTGGACGCCCTCCAGCCTCCGGCCGACGCCGCGCCCGCCGGGAGCGGCGTCGCCCAGGCTTCGGACCTGCGCGGCGCCGTCGCCCTTCGCGTGCGGCTGAAACAGCGGCTCGTCGTCCCGCATGATCGTCGTTCGGCGGTACCGAGGGTCAGAGACGACGGCGGACGATCGCTTCGCGCGCGCGAGGCTCTCGAGGAGGAGCGTCTCCGCGCCGACGAGGGAGACGTGCTCGGATATCGCGTCCATCTTGAGGTTGAGCGTGCCCGAGCGGAACGCCTCGGGGCCGTCCGCGTCGAACGAGGACGCGGCCGCGCGCGCGGTGGGGGCGCTCATCGCGTCGGCGTCAACGCGGACGATAGGATTTCGTCGTCCGAGTCGCCCAAATTAGGTCCCCTCCTACAGCTGTAAGATTGCTGTGAGACGACGACGCGCGCGTCGCCGCCGCCTCGACGCCGCCTCGCGCGTCCGAACCGTCGACGACGGGTTCGGACGTATCACGCGAGCGCGCCGACGCACTCGCGCGCCCGTCCCCGCGGACCCGGGCGCTCTCGTGTGCGCGTCCGCCCGCGCCCCTCCCGCGCCACGACTCGAGATTTTCGACACGCGCGTCGTCTGTGCTGAGGATCGTTCCGTGCATTCGTTTTTCACCCATCCCTCGGTTTCAACATTTGATCGCGTTCCCTTTTAACTGACCGATGTATTGAACGTCAAGTCGTCGTCGGCCGGGTCCGGCGAAGCTCAGAAGAGCTCCGCTCCGATGAGAAGTTTCATTTGAAGCTGTCGCGCGCGCGCGACTCGCTCGCGTCATGGCGGCCAAGCGCAGCCTCGCGCGCGTCGCGGGCCTGGACGTCGACGTCCTGAGCCGCCTCGAGGGGCACAACTTCAGGACCGCGGAGGACGTCCTCACGCGGTCGTCGCTCGACCTCGTCGAGCTCCTGGACGTGTCGCTGCCGACCGCCGAGCGCGTCGTCGCGTCCGTCGCGAAGTGCGTCTGCCCCAAGCCGCAGACCGCGATGGCGCTCCTGAGGCAGCGCGGCGGCGGCGGCGGCGGCGGCGGAACAGCGCGATCGTCCTCCGGCGCGCGCGCGAGCGCGAGCGGCGACGGCGGCGGCGGCGGCGGCGCGTCGTGGCCCGCGTTCCTTCCCACGCACCTCGCGGCGTTAGATCTCGCGCTCAAGGGTGGCGTCCCGACCGGGTCGATAAGCGAGCTCGTCGGCCCCGCGGGCGCGGGGAAGACGCAGTTCTGCCTCACCCTCGCCGTCGCCGCGGCAGCGCCGAAGAGCGTCGGCGGCCTCGACGGCGGCGTCGTCTTCATCGACACGGAGCAGAAGTTCAGCGGCGTGCGTCTCGCGGAGATCGCGCGCGCGAAGTTTCCATCCGTCTACGGCGACGGCGACGGCGACGGCGCGCCGTCCGAGGCGGACGCGCGCGCGTCGCTGACGACGCTCACGTCGCGCGTCCTCGTCCTCACCCCGAGCACGCTATCGGAGATTCTGCAGCGGCTCAACGGCCTCGAGGAGGCGCTCATCGACCACGGCGTGCGGCTCCTCGTCGTGGACTCGATGGCTGCGCTCGCGCGCGCGGAGTTTGGACGCGGGCAGCTGCAACAACGGCAGGAGCTGCTGGGACAGATCGCGAGCGTGCTGAAGCAGCAGGCGGAGCGGCTGCATCTCGCGGTTTTCGTGACGAACCAGGTCACGACGCGGATCGGCGCCGCGGCGGGGCACGACACGGGTCCCGGGGCTGGGAGGGAGGAGGGGGACGGCGGCGGAATAGGCGGCGGCGGCGGCGGCGCGGAGAGAGACGCCGGGTCCAGAGACGCCGGGTCCGGGTCCGGGTCAGGTGCGTTCTATACACTGGTCCCCATACGACCGCGTTGGCGTGGTGAACGCCGATCCTTAAGGACTTTCGCCGTCGTCTCTCCGCCCACCCCACGCTTTCAATCCCCGACCGCGACGCCTTTGAACGCCCACTGACGCCTTTCAACTCCACCCCGCCATCGCTTTGTATGGAACGGCCCTCAGGGTCCGTGACGGCGGCGTTGGGGACGAAGTGGGCGCACTGCGTGAACACGCGGCTCGTTCTCGAGGGCGCGGCCGGGGGCGGCGACGCGGACGCGGCGGGGGGCGGCACGCGGGTCGTGAAGGTGGTCAAGTCCCCTCGGTGCGCGCTCGCGGGGTTCGAGTACGAGGTGCGCGCGGGGGGCGTCGTCGTCGACGGCGACAGAGCCGTCAGAGTCGACGCGAGCGGGAGCAACGTGCACGCGTCCATACGAGGCGTGTTCGCGGGGAGCGCGCTGTAGGGTAGTCGTCGCGCGATGGCGCTCGCGAGGGTTTAGGGTTTAGGGTGAACGGAACGGACGCGCGATGGGACGAACGACGGGGAATAGACGGACGTCGCGCCGCGCGAGAAGAGGAAACGACGAGAAGAGGAAGGCGCGCGCGCGTCGACGGCTCGGTAAGTACACTTGCTGCTACTGTGTGGTTATCAAAACATCTCTTAAAGGCGACTCGCGCCCGTGTACGAAGCCAACCGCGAACAAGCAATTCACTCTGTGTGCCTGTCGTCCCAACTCCCTCCCCGCGAACAGATCGCCCTGCCCTCGCCCTCGCCGTGAGGTACTCCATCACATCGCCGTGAGGTACTGCGACGGCGAAAACTTGTTCCCGCCCCCCGCGCCCGGGCTCCCCTTGTCCTCGCCGCCCACCCCGCCGTGTGCCCGAGTGGCGCGTCCGCCGCGTTTCTCCTCCTCCGCAGCCTCGCGCGCCATCACCGCCTCCGCTTGCATGTACAGCCCCGCGTTGGACTCCTCGAGCTGACGCATGACTTCCAAGACGTCGTCCGACGCCGCGGGTTCTTTCCCGCCCTTCATCGCGTTCGCCGTCTTCAAATCGTTCCCGCTCGGCGCTCGACGGAAAATCGAGGAAAGACGGCCGGGGATGCCGGCGCCGCCGCCCTTGACGTGCGGCGGCGACGCGAGCCCCGCGAGCTCCGCGTTCGCCATCCTCGGCGGCCCGGCCGCCGCCGCGTTCGTCGCCGCGGACGCGCGCGTCGTCCGCCCGGGCGTCGGCTCTTTCGCCGCGGGGGTTCGCCCCGCCTTCGCCGCCGCCGCGCCGCCGCGGCCGGGGGTGTCGAACCAGCCAAACCCGGAGATGGACGGCGACGCGTCTTCGGGGTTACCCCCCGCGGTCTTCTCCCCGCCACCCTGCGTCCTCGGCGGCGCCATCGAGTTCGCGTTCGCGCCGTTCGACGCCGGCGTCGCGCCGCTGCGCATCACCGTGTTCTTCCTTAGGATGCTCCCCCCCGGAGAGGAGAGCAACGCGTTGTACAGGTTCATCGGGGACCCGCCCGCGAAGTTCCCGAGCAGCGGGCTCGCGCCGGTGGCCATCATCGTCGACAGCGCCCCGAGCGGGGACGCGGCGCCGTTGGACTTCCCCGTCGGCGAGCCGTCGTGCATGGACTCGAAGAGCTCCGTCATCGGAAACGGCGACGGTCGGCCAGACTTTCCGTCGGGGGAGGGCGCTCCGTTCGAGTTGGCGTTGTTATACAGCGACGGCGACGCGGCGAACAGCTGCTGCACCGCGGCGGTCGTGCCCGTGCCGAACGGCGACGGCGCCGCGCCCGCGCCCGCGGCGCCGTTGGAGTTCCCGTTCGTCGGGGACATGAGCATGTTGTGAAGCGTCGCGTCGAAGACGGCAGCCGCCGCCGCCGCGGCAGCCGCCGCCGCCGCCGCGTGGTTCCCGCCTTGGCCGTTGGCGTGGAGGTTGTACTGCCCCATCATCTGCGCCGCCGCGTGCGCGATGTCCGGGTCGTTCGCGCGCTTGTTCGCACCGGGCCCGCCGAACGCGAGCTCGTCGCTCGCCTTGCGCTTCTTCCCCTTGGACGTCTTGGCGGCGCCGCCGACGTCGCTCGCCTTGGCGCCCGACGCCTTGGCGCCCGCGATCGCCTTTTGCTTCTTCGCGCCGTTCTTGTCCGCGTTCTTCGCCTTCTTCCCCTCCGCGTCCGCGGCCGCGTCCGCGGCGGCGAGCGGCGGCAACCCTCTGGCGACAGCCTCGTCCACCTTGCGCTTCAGGGTGCTGTTCCAGTGGTTTTTGATCGCGTTGTCCGTGCGTCCGACGAACGTCTTCGCGATCTCCGCCCATCTGTTCCCGTACTCCGCGTGCGCGACGATGAGCTTCTGGTCCTCCTCCCTGGACCACTCCTCGCGCTTGATCTCCGGGTTGAGATGGTTGTACCACCGCTCGCGGCACTGCTTCCCGATCCTCCCGGGGAGCTGCTGCGCGATCTTACTCCACTGCTTCGCGCCGAGCGCCTTGACGAGCTCGATGATCTTGTCATCCTCCTCCTTCGTCCACGGGCCCTTCACGAGCTCGGGGTTGAGGACTTTCTGCCAGCGGTGCAGGCACTGGACGTCCGTGCGCTCTTCGAAGTACTCGGCTGAAAATAGTGGGTAAAGAGGGATTTGAGCGGGGGCGGGCGGTCGAGGGTCAGTTCCCAAATCATCATCAGTCGTGGTCGCGTCGGCGGGCGATGGGGAAGGAGGCGAGGAGGGTTTGCGAGATTGCGTGCCCGCCGCCGCGTCGACCGCGCGATGTCGCGCGTCCCGACCCCGCGCGCGATGTCGCGCGACCGGTCAGGGAGCGCGCGGCGGGGAGCGCGCGCGTAATCGACGCGAACGCGCGACGACGCGCGACGCCCTCGGGCGGCGCGAGTTCGTTAGAAATCGGCCCACGGCAACCGTCTGCGCTGCGCGAGAGAGCGGCTGGCGTCGCACGCGCGGGGCGTCGATGCGGGGAGGCGAGGGACGGGCCGCGGGCGCACCGATCTTCTTCCAGTTCTTGCCCTTGTAGTGCGCGACCGCGCGGCGGAGGATGTCGTCCTGATCGTCGAGGGCGCAGAGGGGGGGATGATCGCGTCAGCGTCGAGGACGACGGTCTCAGATCGAGCGCCTCGGGGAGGGAATAACCCGCGGTCGACGCGCGCGAGCGCAGGCAAATGGCGGGCTTTTGAAGCATCCCCGCAGAGGCGGAAGACCGCGCGAGTGGCCCCGCGCGAGCCCCCTCGACGCGCGCGAGCGGTAAGGAACCGATCGAGGGCGCGATGAGAACACGCCGCGGGGGTCTCGCGCGCGGGGACGCGTCATGGCGCGCGCGCGCTCGGCGTCCTCGGCGGAGGCTAAACACTCGCGATTTTTCTGGGGAAGATGCGCACCTCGTCTGGGGTCCACCCACCCTTCGCGGAACGCCGCGTCGGGCCGCCCGTGCGCCTGGGAAACGAGAGGAAATCGAACACGTCAGCTTGAAGACGCCGTGGAGGTTGTGTCGTGATCGCTCGCGGGGAAAATCGCGCCGAGGACGACGCGCGCGCGGGCGATTCCCGGCGCGACGCGAGCGCGGAAAATCGCGTCTCTCGCACGCACCCGACGACGGGAGGCAGCGAAGTCACTTTGTCCGCGAGCATTTGAACGACGGAGGACGACGCGAGCGCGTGTGTGCGATGTGCGCTCGTAGAGACGAGAGCGATATTCCGCGAGCGTCGGACGTCACGAGACGGATTTCGGTCTCGAGGACACCGCGGCGAGTGCGCGCGCGTCGTCGGAGTGTCGTCCCCGCGCGCGCGATGCGGTTCAAACTTATTCCGCTTTGTTATTTCAAAACTTACACGCGAGCGAGCGCGAGCGCTCGCCTCCGTTGGAAATTCAAAGTGCCGACCGTTGGAAGCTGTCGATCGCGGCTTCGCGCGCCGCGGTGAAGGACGCGCGACCGGTGAAATCGTTTCTGGTGGGTCGAGTTGAAACTGGATATGGGTGAACGTGAAAATCGTCCAGGCTGAAACGCCCGCGATCCGGTTTCACGGACGCTCGCCGAATTTCACGCAGGACGCTCCGGTCCACGGCGAGACACTCTCGCCGCGCGTCCCGTCGCCGCGCGCGGTCGCGATGGCGGGGAAGAAGAAGAAAGCCGCCGCGAAGGACGCGCCCGCGGGTGATGACGAGAAGAAAGCTCCCGCGATGCCGCCGCCGCCGCCGGAGGATACCACCGCGGCGTCGTTCGTCGCCCTCGCGGAGTGCGTCCCGGCCCGGACGCTCGTCCCCGCGTCTCGTCGTCGCGAGGAATCATGCAGCCCCCTTTCGGATCTCCCCGCCCTTCGCGCGCGACGCCTCGCGCGATCGTCGCGCGCCGCTGACGCGCTCTGCCCCGTCTCGATCGTCGCAGGCAGCAGCGGAGACAGGAGATTCTGAACGATTACAAGCACCAATACGATAAGATGTGCGTCTCGCCGTCGTCTCCCCGCGCGGTCGTCGTCCGTCGTCCCGGAACGAGAATGCAGTGCGAGAGAAAAAATCCTTCGCTCGACGCTGAGACGATACCCGCCCCCGCGTTCTCGCTCTCCCCCCGCAGCGTGCGACAAAAGCAAGAGCTCGAAGACGAGCGCGCGGCAACCGCGGCAGAGAACGTGCGCGACCCTCGTCGTCGCCCCCCCCAGTACAGGCGTCTCCGTGCCGTTCCCGCGTTCGCGTTCGCTTTCGCTCGATTCGTCCGTCGCGCCGTGCCGTATTCGTCGCGCCGACGCCCCCGACGCTCACCTCTCCTCTTCTCGCCCTCCGACCATTCGCGCGCAGTTCACGACGACGCAGTACCTCCGCGAACAGCTCGCCGACGCGTCCGAGAGGCTCGATCTCGCGACGAAGGAGGCGACCCGGCGAGAGGAGGCGCACGCCGCGGAGCGCGCCGCCGCCGCCGAGAAGACGGAGGCGGACGCGCGCGCCGCGGAGGCCGACGCGAAGACCGCCGCGGACGCGCTGCGGGCGACGATCGAGGAGATGAAGCGCGAGCTCGATGAGGTAAAAGAGTTCCGAGGCGGGAAACAGGCGATGATTGACGAGATCGCGGGCGCTAAGGCGGACCTGGCGCGCGCGAGGGAAGAGGCGGCGAGAGCCGCGAACGAGACGCGACTCGCCAACGCGCTGGAGAAGAGCGAGCTCGCGAAGGAGTACGAGCACAAGTTCGACGAGCTCAAGCGACAGACCTCGGAGGACCTCGAGACGCGGTTGGACGACAACAGCAAGAGGATTCTGGCGCAGAACCGCAAGCTCGCGGACGAGCTGCGGCTGCACATGCGCGCGAGCGCCGAGCTCGAGAGGGAGAAGAAGGTGCTGTTCAACGAGAACAGGAAGCTGAGGCGAGAGGTGGAGCTCCGGCGGGAGATGGAGGAGGTGTACGCGAAGCGGTTTGTCTCGCAGAAGAAGGAGCACGACGTCGCGAAGGATAGGGTGAAAGCGTTAGAGCACGCGGTGAAGCGAGTGACGAGCGACTTTGACGACGAGCGCGAGAGGATCGCGACGGAGGCGTGGGGCGACCGAAGCGCCGCGGCGGAGGACGCGAACGAGCTGAGACGTCTGCTGCACTTTAAGAGTAAGGAGCTGAGCGTGATCAAGAAGCTCGCGAAAGAGGCGGTGAAACAGCGCGGGGACATGGAGCGGTTCATGATCGACTCGTTGGAGATTGTGAAGAAGGAGATCGCGAGCGAGCGAACGCGCGGCGGCGGCGGCGGCGGCGGCGGCGGGGCGCGTGCGACGTCGACGTCCACGTCGACGTCGTCCACCGCGGCGTTATCCGACGGGAGCGTGGACATCAAGGACATGTCGTGGGCCGATCGCGAACGGGTGTTGCGAACGTTATTCGCGAAGATGACCGCCGCGCCGAGGCGGTCCCACGGCGGCGGCGGCGGCGGCGAGAAGAAACCGCCGCTCGACGTCGGGGAGGAAGCGCTGGACGGCTTGCGGTCGGACCCGTCGCAGCCGTCGATCGCGTGAGCGATTTCGTTTCGATTCGTTTCGTTCGCGTGATAGTTTCCCGTGTCCGTATGTACACGAATAGCCCTAATAGCCCTGGGTTGATGTGACCGATTTTCCGCCTGTCTCCCCTAAACGTATGCACACGTGTTCTCCCGTCGTCAGTAGTACGAGAGATTTCTGCCGCCGCGCGAACCAGAACCCCCGCGGGAACCGCCGCCGCCGCCGCCGCCGAGGTACCCGCCACCCCCGGCGCCGTCGTCCCGGTGCTCCTCCTCGTGGCACTCCTCCCGTCCGTCCGGGAACCTCTCCCTCGTCACCGTCTTCGTCACGCGCTGCCCGTTCACGATGGTCGTCGAGGACGACACGCTCTTGCTGTACCCGCCGCCTCCGCCGCCGAAGGACGACGAGGAGTGCATGTTCATCATGTCGGACATCATCCCGCCGCCGCCGAACAAGCTGCCGCCCATCATCCCGCCCATCATGCTGTGGAACGGGTCGGGGGCGTGGTGGCGCGAGGACGCGCCGCCGCCGCCGCCGCCGCCGCCGCCGCCGCCGAAAAAATCGTCGTCGTCGAAGAACCCCGCGAACGGATCGCGGCCTCCGAACGCGTGGCGGAAGACCTCGAACGGGTCGTGGTAGAACCCGCCGCGCTGGCCTTGGGAGAAGTCGAACCCGAACCCGCCGCCGCCTCTTCCCCCTCCTCCTCCTCCTCCTCCGCCGCCGCCGCCCGCGTAGTTCGGATCCACGCCGGCCATGCCGTACCGGTCGTACGCCGCGCGCTTCGAGTCGTCGCACAGGATCTCGTACGCCGCGGCGACGCGCTTGAACATCGACTCCGCTTGCTCTTGGTTCCCCGGGTTCTTGTCCGGGTGCCACTTCACCGCGGCTTTACGATACGCCTTGCGGATCGCGTCCGCGGACGCGTCCGGGGGCACGCCCAGGACGGCGTAGAGGTCGTCCTCGTCCCCGCCTCCTCGAGGCATCGTCGATCGAAGGAAGTTTCTTCTTTTTTCTTCTTCGCGGCGGACGCGGGGGGGCGGGTGGGAGGGGGGTTCGCGACGCGGCGCGCGCGACTCCTTCGCGACGAAGATGCGGGCGCGCGCGACGTTCCGGCGTCGACGCGTGTGCCTCCGCGCGCCTTCTCTCGCCCGCGCGAGTGAGGGGGGCGGGCGAGATCGTCGTCCACGTCAGAACACGTCGATTTTTTTCCCTGAGTGATTTGGCGAGGGCCCGCAGCGTCGGGGAGCGGGGCTCGGGGGTACGACTTTCGGAGGCTCGCGCGCGCGGGGCATCACACGCGAGAGCGCTCGGTTCGAGGCACGGACGAGCATCGCGCGCGGAGACACCCATCGAGACGGGCTCGAACACAC